ACTGGGCGGTGGCAAAGACGCCTTCCTGAAGGCGCTGAGGGGAGCAGACCCGAGTTTTCCAGTATCAGAGTGAGGTGAGAGACCACGTGAACGTGCTTGCATCCAGAAAGCCTACCGTGAGTCAGGAAAGGCATCAGAAGGCTGAGCTTGGTGGCCTCTGGCTCGTCATGTTCTGGTATTTTCCCCGGTGGACTCTTCTGTACGTCTAGCTTTCTAAAATCACGTGTATCACCTGTAGGACAATTTGGTGTCTTTTCTGCCTGTCTTTTTCTGTGTACATAAAGGAAACAGCTAGAGGCAACTTTGGTCGGTTAACGACCCCGCACGAATGTTTACTTCAGCAATTCTGGGCTGTTGAGCAACGTCCTTTCGTGTCCCTCCTGATGTGGTCTGGCACTCAAATGCTGAGCTGGACAGCGTGGACACGGCCTCGCTCGCACCTAGGGTTTCCCACGTGGCCATTTTAAGAGCTGCAGACTTCATACACTTCTGTGCCCTGGGCAAGACAGATCACAGAGGGCAGTGTGCTCCGTGCATTTGGATAGTGGTAGCAGTGACCGTCCCCGGTGGCCTCTCCCACCCAGAAGGAGCCACTGTCGCCTCCACAGACAGGACCACGTGAGGCCTTGGGCCAGCAGGATGACATGGCTGGAGCCTGGGCCTGCGCATCTAGGGCGCAGTGTGGAAATGGGAGACTGGGGGCCGTGGGGTGATGTGGCTGCGAGGACGGGGGCGTGGGGTCCAGGTGAGAAGAGGCAAGCCGGGCAGGGGCGCAGCTCCACTCCAGGTGTGTGCGCCGGGGGCTCCGGCTGAGCCGTTGCGGTGGGTCAGCTGCCTCATCGCTTCTAGAACACTGAGTGGGAGGGAGAGAGCCACTCCCCTAAGCCGGCCCTGTGCGGTTTGCCCCGTCTCTGATGACGGTGCTTCCACGCTGACATGGACAGCCTCCTCCTTTTCTCGCCCAGAACCGGTTCTGCATCGATGGGACGTTGTGAGTGCACCCGCACCCGCGGGCCGCAGGGCTTCTCGGCCCGGCTGGGACCCCACCGTGACCTCCCCCTTCCCCCGTGCCAGGGCCCGGGCTGCCAGCGAGCAGGCCCGGCAGCTGGAGAGTGAGCGGGAGGCCCTGCAGCAGCAGCACAGCGTGCAGGTGGACCAGCTGCGCATGCAGAGCCAGAGCGTGGAGGCCGCGCTGCGCATGGAGCGCCAGGCCGCCTCGGAGGAGAAGTGAGTGGCGCCCCACCCCCTGGACCGACAGGGGCCGGAGGGCCGTCAGCGGCTCTCTCCCCGGCGAGGAGCCCTTCGAGGGCCCGTCCCCTAGCGCCGTCACACCCAGCCGGCCCACCCTCGGTCCCACGACGTCTGCTCCGCGGCCCACGTGCACACGGCGCCGTTTGGCCCACGTGTTGGCAGCATCGGGCCCGGGACCCCGGGAGGCTTTCTTGGCGTGCCTCTGAGTCTCCTTGCACCCAGGCCAGTCCTCCCGCCTTTCTGTGTTTTTTGGGACGCTGACTCTTTCGAAGAGCGCAGGCGGTTCCACAGTGTTGCAGACGTTCCTTCTCTTATTTTTAAAAATGTTAGCTTTAAGAAAAAAGGATGCTGAGCATTTAGTGAAGCCTGCCTCAGAGCTGACGGCCTTCCAGGCCCGGAGGCACCCTGGCCACCCCCTTTCTGGTGTGTGGACGTGACAAGAAGGACGAGGGTGGAGTGGGAGGCACAGAAGCCTGTGGCTGAGCCAGGACGAGGTGTTTCTCCAGCAAAAGCTCCTTTTCCTTAGGCGGAAGCTGGCGCAGCTACAGGTGGCCTATCACCAGCTCTTCCAGGAGTACGACAGCCACATCAAGAGCAGCGTGGTGAGCAGCGAGCGGAACCGAGTGAGTATGGGGGGAGATGTCCCTGGGACTGTCTAGGACTCCGCCTTGCTTCCTCTCCCTGTGGCCTAGACTCGGAGCCCAGTTCCCCAAATTTAGGGACGTTGGAACTCAAGGCCCTATCTGAAGAGTTGACAGAATTGGCTTTCAGGAGGGATACCAGACTTGTCCTAGAGCTTTGTCAAGCTCGCGGTGTGACAGCCCAGGGCAGGACGTGGGGAGACGGTGATCTGTGTGCCGTGCTGTTTGCTGCCTATGTGTGACTGGGCTGGGCCTCTGGATGCTCTCTCTGTGGGCTGGGAACTTGCCTGCCTCCATGGCCAGTCGTTCCTGCCAGCCATCACCAGCTCGGCTCCTGGCTCAGATTTCTGAGAGCCAACGTAAGCCCTGGGAATGTTTCCATCCCCCTGTTGAAGGTGGCTGGGAGCCCTCTTCTGGTTTGTTCTCATCAGATCTGTACTGGGCGCGGTTTCTAGCGAGCACATTTTGCGAAGGATGTTGTCAGATGTGAACGTACTCAGGGGGGACTTACAAGGGTCAAGCCTGAAACCGACCCTGTGAAGAACGGTTGGTTACAAAGCTGTGGCCCCTTGGTCTCCAGAAGGAAGGCTTCGTGGTGTGTGTGGCTGTCCGCGTGTACGTACATGTGTGTGTTTGTAACGTGTGTGTGTGTGCGTGCGGGGGCGGGGGGCCTCTGTGAGGGACCAGCAGACCTTCGACCAGGGGGCAGGGTGGAAGGACTGATGGCTCTCAGCTTAGTGGTGGCATGTCGTGGAGCGTTCGTGCAGGAGACCCGCTCGGTGTGGAGGGGATGGCCTCAGGAGGGGGTCTGGCGGTGCCCCTTGAAGGGTTGGAGTAGGGCTGTGCAATTGGGGATTCTGGGAAAGGCACGTCGCACCGGCTGACCTCACAGTTCCCCCTCCAGCCTCTTGCCTTTCCTGGGCCCTGCACGCACCGACATCTTGTGGTCGGCATCACTCTGGCGCTGGCCGGCCTCGGTCTCTCGTTCCTCGTGGTTCTTGTCACCTGGAGCGGCCGCCGGCCCCTGCCCTGGGCCAGCTCGGGCTCCGGCAGCCCTCCTTGCCCATTTCTAGGGACTGCAGCTGGAGGACCTGAAGCAGCAGCTGCAACAGGCCGAGGAGGCCCTGGTGGCCAAGCAGGAAGTGATTGACAAGCTGAAGGAAGAGGCCGAGCAGCACAAGATAGTGATGGAGACCGTTCCGGTGCTGAAAGCCCAGGTGAGCGCGCTCCTCTGTGGCCTGCTGGCTCCGGGACCTCGCGTCCTTTTGCCGTGGCTTCTTGGAAGCCCTTCGCGCCCCTCGTGCCGTTCCTCGACCTGTCGGTGCACGTGCGGGTGACTTTCCCTTGTGCTGTGGGCTGTGGGAGGGCAGGAGCCAGCTCTGCCTGGTCCCCCAGCACGGAGTGTCCGGTGAATGGCCGACGGATGGCAGGCGTGCCCCTCTCTTGGCTTTGCCAGGCGGACATCTACAAGGCCGACTTCCAGGCCGAGAGGCAGGCCCGGGAGAAGCTGGCAGAGAAGAAGGAGATTCTGCAGGAGCAGCTGGCCCAGCTGCAGCGGGACTACAGCCGCCTGAAGGCCAGCTGCCAGGAGTCTGCCAGGTGGGCCCCCCCCCCCCCCCCCCCCCCCCCCCCCCCCCCCCCCCCCCGCCCCAGGACTGGGACCCGGTGCCCTTCTCTCGCAGTGAGTGGTGAGGCAGGGCTCGTGGCTTGTCGGCCCCTCGCCTTCCGTCCGTCCCCTCTTCCCGCCCCCTCCTCCTGCCCCACCCTCCCGCCCCACCCTCCCTTCAGCCTCCTACGTAGGCCCTGGAGCTGTACTTGCCCTCGTCGATATGGCCGTTTTTCTTTTCAAAGGATTGAAGATATGAGGAAGCGGCACGTGGAGGCCTCCCAGGCCCCCGTAGCCCCTGCCCCAGGTGAGTGAGCCGCTGGAGGGTGGGTGGAGAGGGAGGGTGCCAGCAAAAGCCCCTTACCGCCTCCCCGGACTTACTCTGTGGAGCGCACTGCCCCCTGGGGGGGCCTAACGGGGAGGGGCCGGTGGTGGTGACTCCAGGAGCCACACCCAACAGTTCTGACAGGCCTCCGTACTTTCTGCGGCTTCCCCTCTTTCTCCAGCTCACCCCTCCTTCCACCTGGCCCTGCCCAACCAGAGGAGAAGCCCCCCCGAGGAGCCGCCTGACTTCTGTTGCCCCAAGTGCCAGTATCAGGCTCCCGATATGGACACCCTGCAGATACATGTCATGGAGTGCATCGAGTAGGGCCGCCTGCTGACGAGTAGCACGGGGCCGCACGGTGCGTGCTGTCCTGCGCGCCCGGTCCTCGGTTACGGGCTGGCTGACACGGAGCGGGCCGCCTCTTTGAGCACCAAGGGCTAGCTCGAGGACCTCACGCTTCAGCTCCCCCATCTGCTGGCTTGCCTCAGTTAGGGTACCTGCGACCCCAGTTAGGCCCGATGCTCTGCTGTTTTTGTTTGTTCTGTCTGCTTGAACTGCCTGCCTCTAGGGGCCCTGTCTTTTTCCACCTCCTCCGGGGAAGTTGAGAATCAAGGCCAGGGCTCTGAGAGAGAACTTCTTAAGCCGAGATGGGCAGAAGCCCTTCCCCGTGCCCGCCCCCCCCAAGCTCCAGCACACCGTGGCGCCAGCGCTCTCGCGGGCTGTGTGCCATTCCGTTTGGAGGCTGCACCGTGCGTGATCCAAGCAGTCCGCTGCTGACGAACATTTGGGTTGTGGCCGCTCTTTTATTGTCACCGAGAATGCTATGGCGAACAGCCGTGTGTATCAGTTACGCGTATCTCTGGGGCAGATTGTTAGAGGCAGTGGCATTGAGCACGTGCACACGGGGTGGGTGGTGTCAGGGTGCTGCCCCCACTTCCTCGTAGCCTTGCCCATCTGTCAGGCATGGGGTTGTCTGTTAAGGGTGGGTTTGAGCATCTTTGTGGAGCTTGAAGGATCCTCTCCAGGTCTTCCGGTGGTAATGGCTCGTTTGTACTTTTTGCCCACTCTTCTACCGGTCATAAGCGGGATCAGCTCTCGAGTGTGGTAGACATTGCGATGATCCTCTCCTACCCTGACTTTGTACCAGCGTGTCGTGGGTCTGAACTTTGTTATCTTTCATACTCACATCTCTCCACCTGTCCTGCACCGCTTTGGGTTTGCCGTTGTGAGCAGCTCCCGGTCTGACGGGGAGCCGCTTCCCACGTGTACACTTTTCCTTTCCCTTTCCTTGCACCGCAGCGTGCTCTTGCCCTCCCCGGGCGCGTCGCTGCCCTGTGTGAGCAGTGGTGCTTGTGAAGGGAGGCCACTAGGCAGTGATTGGCAGATCGTGAACGCTGGAGCACTCCTTATCGTTGCTTTGTAAGATGCTGGATGTTTCCTTGGATGTCAAAGCCACGGGCGTTAACCCTGCAGTTGTCAGGAAAGAATGTTGGAAGCGGAGGGAGAATGTCCTACGCTCCCCGGGCCCTCCTCTGTTCTCCCCTGGCTGGGAGCGGGCTGTTGCTGAAGACAAGCCTGGCCCAGGGCTTGGGTGGCACTTGCGGGAGCAGGGGTGCCTTTTCCATTGCCCGAAGCCCAAGTGTCTAATTGCACGTGATTATACTTTGGGAAAATGTTAAAGGCCCGGACAGGCCCCCCCCAACTCTCACCTGCTGCATTCAGTCCTGATCCCGCGATTTTTCTGTAAGAGCGCTTTTAGTTTGCGGGGGGTGGGTATTAAATTCCCGTGGCCCCTGTGACAAAAGAGACCAATGTGGTGGCTTAAAACAACAGGAATTCATTCTTTTGTGGTTGTGGAAGTCAGAAGTCTGAAATCTGGGTGACAGTGACAGCAGGGGTGGGAAAATCAGTTTCAGGCCTATCTCCCAGCTTCTGGTGCTTGCCTCCGTGGTTACATGGCCTCTTCTTTTTTCTGACCGTGTCATCTTTTATGTCTCTTACAAGGACACCCGTCACTGGACGTAGGGCCCACCTACATCATATCCACGATGAGCTCACTTCGAGGTCGTTATCTTCATTACATCCACAGAGACTCTTTTTTCCAGATAAGGTCGTAATCACAAATTCTGGGGATTAGGACATGCATCCATCTTTTGGGCCACCGTTGAGCCCAGCACAGGGCTGTCTTCTACAGCGCACAGACTAGGACAAATGGAGTTGAAGCCAGATGTCTTCAGCGCTGGTGGCTCCGTTGGGGGGGCTCCGTTCCCCGGGATGATGGTGGCTGCAGAGGCACGTGACTGGTTGGGTGTGGGGCAGGTCCTTGCAGGTGGGAATGTCGCTCTTTACGACATCGTGTGTCCAGCTGGACACTGCGCCAGGGCCGGCAGACACAGGCGGGGAGAGGAGGGGGAGGCTGCGGGACAGAGCCGAGGGAGCGGCCCGCGCCCTGGGCCCCGGCTACCATCTGGGTAGGGACGGGCTTCCTGCTTTGTCGGGGTAGCGAACACAGGCATGGGGAGCCCCTCTGTGACCGGCCGTGTCTTCTGAAAGGGAGTTGAGAGGAAGAGGATGAGACCCGGCAGTAGTGAGAGGCAGGTGTTCGCGTCCCGGGACCTTGCCTCGGGTTCTGGCAGCGTCACCCGCATGGCCATGCGCCCGTATGGCCACTGTACGTTAGACCCCAAGGATTGAAAGCACACCATTCACTCAGGAGTGAGGGGCTTCTGCTTTCTTCTCTGGCTTTCCTGAGATTGGGCTTCTGGAATAAGTGGTTAGATCCCTCCTGTGAGGGAAGCGGCCTGCCTACCTAATTACCGTGCCCCTTGACCCTCACAACCCTGGGTCCGGGAGACAAAGACCGAGCTAGAAGCGCATCCCGCCGAAACCCGTGTCCTTCCTTGTTGCTCACACTTGACTGTGTGGCTACGTGCTGGTCAGTGCTGAAGAGACATCCAGGTGACCAATAAAATGAGCACAGTAAGAAAGCGTTTCTCCTTCACTAGTAACTAAAACACACAGTCAAACTCGACAAAAAGTGGTGTCAAACTGGCAACGCACGAAGACCTTGGGTGTCCTGCGGGCAAAGTGCACGGCCGGCCCCCTGCTGGGGCCTGGTTTGGCAGGCTGGAACCAGCACTTAGGAAGCAGCCTCAGCCCGCGCCACCGGAAGCGGAAGCGACGGCCAGGTGCACACGGCGACTCTGGCATCGCAGGGGCGCTCGCCATGCCATCCTTTGTAGCTGTGCTTGGGGACTGTGTTGTGAACATCTGGCCGCGTGGAACACTCTGTAGCACGTTGATGTGAAAAAGCCAGTAGACGAGATTCTGTACAGAGTGTGACCCCAATAAAAAAGTAACCGCAGCTGGTGCACACCCGGCTACCGTTTGGATGGGTGTGGGTGGCAGGATGACCGGTAATGAAGTTTTCCTTTTTTAAAACAAATTTTTTTTAATGTTTGTTTTTGACAGAGAGAGAGAGAGAGAGAGAGAGAGCGAGCATGAGTGGGGGAGGGGCAGAGAGAGAGGGAGACACAGAACGGGAAGCAGGCTCCAGGCTCTGAGCTGTCGGCACAGAGCCCGGCACGGGGCTCGAACTCCCCGCGAGATCATGACCTGAGCCGAAGTCGGCCGCTCAACCGACTGAGCCACCCAGGCGCCCCTGAAGTTTTCCTTTTGTATTTAATGTGTCTTCTGAATGCCTATACTTTGCACGTAGTGAGTTGATACACAGAAAATGTATGTTACTGCAAAGTCCGCCTGGTATTAGCACGGAGGTTTTGTCTGTGCTAGTGGCTGAGAAAAGGGCACACTCACGTGACTGCCAATGAATTGTCTAAGTGACTGATTTGATGCTCCTGGGGTGTATCTGCTGGGGCTGCCGGGACAAGGCACGGCAGGCTGGGCAGCCCCAACAACAGAAACGTATTTTCTCCCGGCTCTGGAAGCCAGAAGCCCAAGATCCACGCGTTGGGAGGCTCAGTCCCTCCTGGGGGCTGTGAGGGAAGGACTGGTTCGAGGCCCGTCTCCTTGCCATGGTCTCCCCACGTGCGTGTCTGTGCGTGTCCGTCTCCAAACGTCCCCTTTTCATAAGGACACGGTCCTCTTGGGTTGGGGCCTGCCCTCGTGACTTCCTGATAACTGTCCCGGCTGTAAAGACCACGTCTCCGAGTAAGGTCACATTCTGAGGTCCTAGGGGTTAGGATTGCCACATTTCTTCTTGTGGCGGGAGGACACATTTTAGCCCCTAACGCACGGGTAGCCCAGCCCCGTTTCACAGCAGGAGAGCATGCGGCCCGGCCCGCAGCAGGAGCAGGAAGCCTTCCATTGACAGCTGACCATTGATACTGCACGAAGGTGACCGGGCTGAGCTGGCTTCCTTGGCTGAGGACTAGGCCCCGCAGCAGGATACTAGTAATCCAAATGGAGCTGATGGGTTCTCCCACGTTCTCCGCTGAGCCTCGGAGAGCAGCGGAGGAGGGGACGGTGTGCTAGAGGAGGCCGCCCTGGGCCCGGCGGCTGTGTGATGGTGGGTCCATGACTTCACCTTTCCGAGCCCCAGTCTCCACATCCATAACATGAGAACCTCAAAGCTTTGCCTTCCATTAGAGTAGCTGCTGAGAGCTGGCTGTAGTTTGCCTCCTTTGCCACAACAATGGATGGAGAAGAGAAGGAGGAAATCCCATAGGACCACAAGAGCTTCTCAGCATGGCCGTGTGGCCGCCTCATGGTTTCTCTGCATTCCCCAATATTCCTTTCTTTCCTCCTCTTCTGAAGCCACTGTTAGTTTGTTCCACAAGGTATATCACCCGAGGATATATTTTCCTGTAGTAGGCTAATTATTCTTTGATGTAACAGCTGAATAGAAAGTAGCTGAGCATTATGATTTTTTTTTAAGTTACTTTGCATCTCTGGGGCTCTTGTTTATTTTTTTTTAATGTTTTATTTATTTTTGAGAGAGAGACAGAGTACGAGCAGGGGAGGGGCAGAGAGGGAGGGAGGCAGAATCCACGAACCAGGCTCCAGGCTCTGAGCTGTCAGCACAGAGCCCGATGTGGGGCTTGAACCCGTGAACCAGGAGATCATGACCTGAAGTCGGACGCTTAACCGAGTGAGCCTCTCAGGCACCCCTGGAGCTCTGTCTTTTAAGTACTTTAAGTAGTAAATATTATATTTACTAAATAGACATCATCAGGGTTCCACTCCCTTTCTTTTCTTTTTTTCCCCCCTTTTCCTCTTTCTTTCATTTATTGGAAGTTCTTATGGAGGAAGAAAACAAATTGCCCTACGGTTTTCCTCACTAGTAATCAGCCTTGGGTATCAAAGCAAATAAATCCAAATAGCTCTAAGTGCAGTGGACTGAGAT